CAAATAGCTGCTTAAAATTAAGATGSCACTTCTGGGGAACTCCATCAGGACCAGGAGTCATCACTTCTTTCTGAATTTATGGCAGCCAGCTAAACACACTGCTGTTTGCCCTTGTAGGGTATTGTGGCCCTAGGAACACCCCTAACACCCCTCAGTGCCCTCCTGGCTTGTCACGCAGAACACAGCACTCTCAACAGGCCTCATATTTTGGAAACTATTTCCATATGATGGCAGGAATCCCAAGCAGGGAGAGCRTGGCACTGGGCTGCAGGCAGCATGCTGGGTGCTGGGTGAGGGCTTGGTTCTCTCAGGCATTCTGAGTCGGTCCTGGGGGCTGAGCACACCAACAGACTGAGTCATGGGGKTTGGCAGAGCAGCTGGCTCGTGGTGTAGGATCCTGCCACCTCAGCTCTGAGACCCTGTCCAGGGAACATTGCTGTTCATTGCAATGACCTGCTGCTGCTACAGATTGGCTGGGTGTGTGATGGGGCCAAAAGGAGGGTGCTACACTTTCCTCTCTGCTCTGGGAGGAGCAGTGGTCCCTTCCCAAGTGTCAGCATCGCCTGGGACAGCGGACCCTGTGGTGGGGAGGACAGCAGGAGCTTGTACTCAGCGATATGAAGTACATGACTGGCTTCACACCCGCAGGAGTGAATGGTGCCTCATGGAAGCATTTCAGACCTGCAGCTGACTTTCCATCTTCCTGCCCAATCCCAGTACTCTTTGGCATGTTTGCCAAACTTTTGCACAGAAACCTGTTGTAAATAATTATATGTGAGGAAAAAAGAACATCCTGACTTGACTCAGTGACATCATTGAAATTTCAGCGCACGGGTTGCRTCCCGCTGGTAGCTTTTGGTGATCTCCTAAAGCCTCTGCAAAAGCCTGTTGAGTCACTTTGGAGCATTGCAATGGAAAGCTGATAACGGCAGCAGTATGGAAATAGAGCTGAAGGGATTGRGGTTTTTAAACTGATGGCTAACTTGGACAAGGCTTAGCTGTGCTTAAACTGGTTATGTCCATCAGATTCAGTTATAGATACAGCTCCAGCACAGAAAGAAACCTTTTAACTGTAGTCTTGTACCTCAGCACTCAGCCTGCACACACTGGGCTCTTGCAGGTTTGGAGGAGTCTGTCTTCTGAAATGACGGCTCCAAACTTTGTGAGGCTGCCCTAAGCTCAGACAGCTTGCTGGAGCAGGAGCTGCAGGCKGGCTGGCTGCTTTCCACAGCTCAAAAAGCAGCGCGTGCAGCAGYCCCGCGGTCACCCCAAGCTGGCTTGGTGACAGCGGTGTCGCTGTTGTGGACTCATTTGTTTACTTTCATTGGGAAAGTTGACTATTCTCCCTCTCAAAAATCTGGGCAGATATCAAAAAGGCATCCAAAGCACCGTTTGTTTCAGGCTCTCAGCCAGTGGGGTTAGCCATACCTGCCCAAGTGCGGGGTGTGGGGCAGGGAGCAGGTGTGGGACAGCGGACACTTCTGTCCCAGCCCGCTTTCCCAGGGAGTGGGGAGGGACGGCTTGGAGCCCTCACCCACCCCCCTCACCCTGCTTTGGGCCAGTGCTCCTCCTGGGAGAGGTGGTCACCCTTGCTCCCAYCCTTGCTCTGGTGACTGCCTCTTCCCAACAGTCCTTGTCTGACTCAGGGGGGATTTAGTACCGGGCTGGGGGGAGGGAAAGACGTTAAACAGGCTTTTCCCTAATGAGGTGTGACGCCAGCTGGAGAGGGGGAGAATCCTGCTTTTCTCCTGTCTGTTGCTCTCTCCAGCTAGAGGAGGAGGAGATGTGTGTCCCCCCCTTTTCCTCTGCTGATTTGCTGCCTCTTCTGTTTCCTTTCTGTGCTGTCCCCAAAGCGTTTTGGCAAGGTTCAGATTTCTGTGCTCACAGCTCAGTGCTCAAAGAGAAAAGGGGAAAAACAAAAGGATTGGAGGCGTGGGGAGGATGGTGGCCGGGAGGAAGCTGAGCCGCTCRTCCTGGCCAGGCTGGAGGAGTGTGGGGATGGGTGACTGGGGCAGGATTTGCCCTTAGGACCAGGGGGGGTTTAGTGGCCTCTTTCTGCTGAGAGTCCCTGGCGTCACTTCAGCTACCTCTGTTTAGATGGGTTGCTTGAGCACTGTGCTGCTTTGCTGTCTGTTTTGGGAGGAAAAGGAAAAATCCTCCTGCAAAATGTGGGCTGAAGCATTAGGTGAAAACCTGAGGGGATACTAACTCTTTGTTCATGTTCCAGAGATGTTAAGGATTGCATTGCATCCTCCTGGTGTGTCTGTCATTCCCACAGCACTCTGGGTGTGTGGGAAGAGTCTAGGATTTAGGTGTTTYGGGACAGGAAGCTGGAGAATCCAGTGGGATAGAAAATTGTGACCTTCAGCTAAACAGGGCAAGTGGACCCAACCCTGGGTTCATTGTTCAAGCCCTGTGTTCATGCATCAAGTTCTTCTTGCTGCTCTTACCCTTTTGTCACAAGSAGCAATAGTAAAATGTAGACAGAAACAATGCAGGACAATGTCAGTTTCTTTTTTTCCAAGACAAATAATCATGTAACACTCGGACTGTGCCTTTCCGGTAACATTCTGGCAGTGTTACTGTCAGCAGGGACCAGAGGATCAGGATGGGCTCCAGGAAGCACCCACAGCATTGGGGAGCACAGTGCAAGTGTCTTTTCTACAGAAGCCCTGACAGCCTGACGCCTGCCAGGAATGGACCTTCAGTGGCCCTGTACTCTGTGTGTGCTGATGAATCTTGGCTTGTTCCTGCATGGCACTGCCAGCCCCACATCACTCTGTGTGCCCAGAGCCCCCGATAGCCAGTGGCTGTGAGATCGGTTTGGGTCAGGTCCCCAAACTGGTGTTACACCTGCCATGAAGACAAGGACAAGAGGACCCTTCTGGGAGAGAGGAAGCAGCAAGAGAGGGGGGAAACAACCCAGCCAGGGGTTTCCATCCCTGCCCAGGAGATGGCATCTTGCCCAGTGCCCCAGGAATGATCCCCCACTCCTGGGGTGACCCGCCAACTCCAAAAATGTAAAGGTCACTCTCGGGCCTGGAAAACAATGATTCCAGATAGGGGCTATCTCAGGCAGTTGTGGCCACTGCTTAAGRAGTGTTAGTCAAACAGCAGGCTGAAAAGGCTCACGGGAAGCAGTTTAAATATTCCTTCATACAAAAGGCTGTCACATCCTAGCAGGGGCAGAACGCTGACTGACAGCTTTAATGCACAAATGTATGTGGATGAGGGAGAGGCTGAATTCAGGGAGGCATCTTGGAGACTTACTTTCCCCCTGGCTTTTATTCTGGGTTCTAATGTAATTTTTCACAAGCTGAGAGTTTACTGTGGTAATGTGGTAACACACCTGGGATGGTTTAGTGTATCACTAAACATTCCGTGATTCTAAGTGAATTCACTCTGTAATTACTATTTATATAGCACRATTACTATTTATACAACAATCATATCACTCTCTCCAATCTATGGCAAGCAGCAACTGCAGTTTTTGTATTATCTTGTCATTAAGGAGGGTGCTCGTCTGGACGAAGGGAACAGGGATTCCTGGTATTTTCCCTAGCTCTGTRGCAGGGATGCTTTGTCAGGCTTTGGCTGCACACTGCCCTTTCCTTACCTCCAGTTTCCATATTATAATAGAGGCATTTAGTACATTCTTCACAGGGCAGGTGTCAGGCTTCACTCCTGAAGCACTTTGGATGTTGCACAAGAGGTAAATAAGAGCAGTGTTGATAATGAAAATATGCCATTAATACATTTCCAATAAAAACCTACAAGCAGCATTTAAGCTGCAATCTGTTATCAATAATTTTATTACTGCAGTTGCTGCGGTCTAATAAAAAAGCACTTTCTCTTCTTTATTGGGTAAGTGCCAAAACGTTTATCCTTTATTCTCTGGCTATTAACCTTTATTCTGTAGCCATTAGCTTAGCTATTTGTGTAACAGTCTGTTGAGTAACATTCAAGTAGGAAATTTGTATTCAAGCCATTATTTAATCTGAAACCCAAAAAGAATAGCTTCTTATGCCTATATTGTTTATCCATATTAAATCTTGTTACTTGTTACTATTAAATCTTGTTTACTGTCTCTATCACTAGCTGTATGCTAGTGATGATAAGTCTTAGAGAAAGTGGATTTTTCTTACTGTGAATAATTTTCTGGCATACAAATAAAACTGTAATTAACCAAATAATATTTGGAAAATAAACCTTGAAACTTGCTTGCTGCAATAAAGATATTTCTCACAACATGTGCAAAATTTGTAGTTAACTAAATTTCAGGAGTTTATCCTTTTTGTGGATCAGTTTCTGCCCCACATATTTGTGAACTCCACTGCTGAAATAAGCTGTGGTACTCTCCATCACAGGAKTGAGAGGATTGAGATTTTGGGTCATGATGGCTGACATCCCTCCATCCTTTTGTTCTCTCTTACTGGAGTTGGAAAAAAAAAGTAACCCAAAGAGAATTAAGTTAATAATCAAAATGCCTGCTCTTCTTTGAGGGATTTGCTTGCTAGCTTTCAGTCATTTCTTGCAATCCATCTGAAACTGCTACTTCTGGGTGTAAGTGGCTTTTAGGGCCACACTTTTCTTCTAAATTGAGCTCAGCAGCCTTAGTGAGTGGAAGTAAAGCAGGAGAATGAAACTGTTGATTCCTGTCCATCAGGTGAACATGTGAGAAATCATGCCTTTCCTATTAGGCTGTAGTGTATCTCAACCTCACTGAACCCTATTTTTCTCCATCCAGACARAAGCATTAGTCTTCTGGCTGGAGAGTGACATTCAGTAAAAGCCTTTCAAGGTCTTCCCATAAACTCTTGCAGTGAAGAGGTAGTAGGAGCAGTTTTTTAATGAGGAGGAAGGTCGGTTTACCCCATGTGTCTGCTGCTGTACACATAGTAAGGCTGTTTGGGTCTTTTTGGTCCTGTTGAGCTAACGGTATAKTCTAAGGAATTAGTTTAATGGTTGGATTTTTTTTTTCTCCCCTTTGTGCTCATTAGGAACTGGAAGCTGCTCTTCACAGGGACGATGTGGAGTTTATCAGCGACCTGATCGCTTGCCTTCTTCAAGGTTGCTATCAGCGCAGAGACATCACGTGAGTAACCTCACTCTATGGCTTAAGCACTTTGCAAGGGGAGCTAATTAACACGGTGGTGGGGATGTTTCACGGCTTTAGAGTGATGACATGGCAGTGATCAGCAGCCACCAGCAATCAGGCCAGATGCTTCACCGAGTGGAAGGGAATTCCAGTTCTCTTGGGTTGAGTTGTAGGCTGTTAATTGTACAGACCTGTTAAACAAACTCCTTTGTTCAGATGCCGTGCAGAACTGTGTTTGATGATGTGCTGTAGCACTAGTGCATGCRGTGAACGTTCACATCTGCTGTGATGCTCTGCTTGGTCAAATTAGTGATTAAATCATCACATATGTTTTCAACATTTATATGTATCGCATTGCACAAAACTTGCTGCTCTGCAGCCACCTTACTTGCATGGAAGATCCCATTGCTTTACATAGGGGCAATTGTGATTATTTTCTTAGAATTAAGAGGAGTATTGGAATCACTTCAGTTGCTGGATGTTAGAAGGTGATTTGACGTGCTCTCTTGAAGTTTTGACATCCAGAGACACTTTGTTAGTGTCCACTAAAGCAACCTCCCAAATGGAGACATCTGTAGAGCATCATTCTTTAGAGGACTGCCACTGGCACAGCGAAATGTGCTTCCAGTGATAGCAAAGGCTTGTTGCAGTGTGTTTTATTTGTTTTTTTGTGGGTCATGTTAATAGCAAGGCGTAATTGTGGGGACAAAGACAGCTTGGCAACACATGCAGTCGCTTGGAAACAATCCTGYTCCCTTAAGATCCCCCTGTTGTGGAGAGCTTAGGCTGGTGCATAGGCATAATCATAGGTGCTTTCATTGAAAGCTCTCTTTCTAATTAACTGATTATGTTTAAAAAATTTATATAGTTTATATRCACACACACAYATATATGTATGTATATATACATATATATATATGTATGCCACTTAATTAAGTTCTCTTGAATTGCTGCATAGACATTCAGCATCAGTGGGTATCAGGACCTGAACCAGGCAGCTGCACTGCATTTACTGTCTCCAAATCAAATTGATGAGTAGATTGATTATAAAGGGACTGTAAAGTCATAYGTATCTTCTTCATGAAAATGGCCACAGAGAACATATACCTGCTTGTAAACATACAGCAAGTTTATTTCTTCATACCAAAGCCATSACAAAGTAGTGGCTCAAGTGTTTTGCCCTCCTGAACCATCTCACCCTTGTAGCAGTAGCAGCAGCAGATTTGTCTTTGATKAAATTCATAAATTCTGCATTGTGAGGTACTCCAAAACTCTCCAGATCTAAGAGTGTCCGCTTAGTGATTGCTCTGTGTAATTGCCTCCCCTTCTGCAACTCCTTTAACTAAGAAAATTCAGGGATAAATCATGGGTGGGTTGCTGGCCACTGGCTGATTGTCTGTCTGTCTGTCTGTCTGTCTGGGGAAGGTCACACATGTCCATGGCAGCTGAGCAGTGTGTAGTTGTTCAGCATTGCATTGTGCCTGTGTTTGGGTATCTTGGAGATTCAAAATCTGCGAGGAGGTAATGCTGTTGCAAGGGAAAAGCTGGTACCCCAGCAATGGCTCTGGCCAGGGTGCACAAGCAGCACAGGCAGGTACCTGTGGAGCTGTGTGTCCCTCCTTACACCAGAGGTGCCCTGGGACACATGGGACTGTGAAGCCACATGGTGAAGTTGTGAGAACTTGCATCTCACCCAAGCAGTTGTGCTGGAGAAAGCATGAGGTCCCTGAAGGAGAGCCAGCTGCACCATTTCTGCATCACCTCCTCCAGAAGGGGGTTACCTCGTGGGCATGGGGATAACCAGGAAAGAAATTTCTGCAGAGAGATGTGGAAGAGAGCGCAATAGGAGCGGTGAGTGTGGTGAGAACAGTTTAGGGAATATTTTAGGAAAACTGCTGAAGCTACTGGGGTGTTCTAGGTGAGCTCTGGAGCACTGTAGAGGAGGCAATGAGGGAGGCTACCTGGAAACAGAGGGAAAGGTACTGTAAGCAGAGGGATGTCATGAAGGAAGAAGCATTAATATGTAATCTAAATATGAAAATCTGTAGATAAATAAGAATAAAGCGATGTCTTGGATACACTTCTCTGAAACAAACTTGCCACGCTGTTTCACACTTAAAATCAACTGTGGAACATTTATCCAAAATCCTAAAGCTCTCCATGTTCCTTACATGTTTCCTTCCAACAACTTTTTTCCCTCTAGCCCCAGTTCAAGATGCAAAGGTCTTGGCTGATGCACAGSTTCCCTGTTGTACCTTGTTTTTTTCCCAGTTAGTGGTAAGGAGCTGGGCTGTAATTCATTTTGTGAGTGCTCAGCAGACAAAGACATGCAAATGTAAGAGGCAGAATTTGTGTRGMKTTTAGACTTGGCTTTTCACAGTGGMYCAGGACTCCACACTTTTCTGTTGCAGATAGATAAAACGTATCTGTCATGAGTGGGAAAAATCAGCAGTGTCACAGATCGTCTTGGTGGTGTTACTGCAGCATCTCTCCAGTCATTTGTACCCTGCATCCTCGTGCTGAGGCTGTGAGCTGTTAATACTGAGCCTGTAAACTTTTGTTCCCTGTTGCATCTCAGAGAGAAAGGCAGGAKCTTGTTCTCATGCTTGTTCTTGGGCTGGGGCACTGTGGCTCAAGTTTGCCTATCTCTCTGAGGGGTTTTGAAGTTTAATTAGTTTTGTATCAGGTCTTACATCTTTGATGGCCGAAATGTTATCTGCCTCTGCTTTCTCACAGTCTGTCTGGGAGCAGCTTGCAGTTCTTGTCACATCTGTTTTGACGGCGTGCAGGACTTGYGGCAGAGCTGGGCTGCCTGGCTTTAATCATGCATCATAGAGGGGTATAAAACTGTCACATACCTTTGCTAATTATAATGTGCKCTCAAGTAATTTTGGAAGTGGCTGAGAGCCCTTCTAATGCCCAATTTAACATGCTCTAGTTTGATTTGCTTTTCATTCTTTGGAAAAAAAGATTAATACTTTTGTAGGGTTCTATGATCCTTGGTTTTGAAATAGAGCAACTTTGCCTTGGTTTTGATATTATTGATGACAGACTTTAAAAAAAATAATTACATGCAAGAGAGACTACTTTTTACCCTTGTTTGGTGGCTAAGGAGTTGAATGTCTGGTAACACAAGACTTTCTTTGAGTTATGGACATTTGTGTTTAACTACAAGAGACAACTTAATGGGATGCTAGGTGATYTTCTCCAAACTCTTATTTATGATAACCTAGCATAGCTGTTTCGAATGAACCCTCCATTGACCTGGTTCTTACTGTGTTAAATACAATAGAAGGACAGAAGAAAAACCAGTTGTCTGCATTTCTGCATCTTTAGCAATGACCCTGTATCTGTCCTTGYCTGGCACCTGGTGGTTTGAGCACTTGGCCAGGACAGTTTCCCCRTTGCTCTCCTCTTTTTATTCTGAGCCAAAATACTCTGTGTCGTGAYCTGCAGCTTTTGTTGTTTTATAAATACCCCTCATAGTATCCATATACCATCTGTACCATCTGTATCTAACTGCTAYGGGTGCAATAGGTATCTGAGGCATGGTTTGGTTTTATGCCAGTGGGATTGCCCACAGATTTTTCCTGTACCCAGCTTTTTTGCACAGGTCTTAAAATGTTGTCTTTTCCTTTAATTGCTTCAAAAGGCAAATGCGTGGAATGTAGGGAGGCAGAAAACTCTTATTTGAATTTGGGGGTTATAAAAAAATTAATAAAAATTAGGCAGTTTGAAAAAATCCTGGTGCTTGCTTCAGATTCTCTCTGCTATAAATTGGGTAACTGCATAGTCCCTAGGGGCTGCCACTTTAATTCCAGCAGGAAATGTGACTTGATGACTTGTATGAAGACAGGAAGATCAGAGCTTCAGCTAACGGCAGCGGCCGCAGCAGGAGCCTTCTGCAGCTGTTTTTAAGTAAGAAGTGATGGTGTGACATGGATGTGTACACTCAACTAAAATATTCCAGAAAAGCTCCTGCTGTTCAGCTTTTCTTTGGGGGGAAACTCATTCTTCAGTGTTCTGTTATTGCGCTTTTGCTGTTTTTATAATGTGATGGCATAAAAAGTTTCAATAACTTTTTCATATTTCTTATTGGGAGGCATTTTGCATGCTGCTACTTTGTCTCAAAAAACATCTTAGCTGCTTTTTCTTACATTTTGTTTTTTCAACATGCACAAAGGCCAGAATGTGAGGAGGAAGAAAAACAATATCTCTTGCTTTTTTTTCTATACCCCATGAGATTCTTTTCTTTTTTTACACCTCAGGAGATTGGTCCATCATTGCAGCTGAAAACTCTCTAATTGACTTCTGTGGCACCAGAGGGGATTTGCTTCCTTAGGAACCTCAATTGTTTTTTTCTTGTTATTTCTTCCCTAATGCACTGGAATTTTTTTCTTCCCAAGTGGATCACTGGTTTTGCACCTTAAGCTCTTTTGGGATCTGTAAACTATCTTCAGTGTCTTTGTTTTGTAGTTTGCACCTGGTTTGTTCTAATAAGGATAATGAGAAGATATTCCTTAACTCCTCTTCCCTTCKCCACAATTGTCTTAATTATTTCTTTCCTATCCTTAGTGGTGGCATTGAGAAACACTCCCAGTATGGTATCTGAAGAGCTGTATTTCCTATTTGTTGAGCTGCCAGTCAAGAATACTGTGTCTATTCTGTGTATTTTCTAACACTAGTTCTGTAATCACTTATTTAAGCTTTCATCAAAAAGAGAGAGAAAGCATCTGAAATCTTCTAACCCACTGAGGCAGAGTATATGTTTCTGAGGACTGTGTTTAATAGCTCTGGGTATTTTGCTTCTTCCTTCTGCTTTGTCATTTCAGTCTATCTGTGTCCTTTATTCCATGTGCCCATCATTGTCCTTTATGCCATGTATCTATACAGGCTACTTTGGGGATTACCCCAGGTCTCATATTTTAGTAAAAGAGACCTCAGTAAAATGCTTAGCTTCTCGAAATCACCCTTCTGCGTTGTGCCTACATGAGCTG